ATTCCATCATGGAGCAGTTGAATCAACTTCAAGAATTTCCTCAGGCAATGATCCAGAGAGCCTCCCTGTTTACAGTGTCAAATGCCTTTGTCAGGTCAATGAAGAAGAGTAAAGAAGCTTGTCCTGCTTGATGCACTTCTCCTGAACTTGCCTCACGGCACATATCACATCTGCTATACTCTGTTCTGGCCGAAATCCATACTGCACTAGGAGGTTCCAAGTCTGTTCAGGAGAATAAGGCAAAGATCTTGCCTGCGATGGACAGCAGTGAGATACCCCTGTAGTTTCCGCAGTTTGATTTGCTTCCCTTATTTTTATAGAGAGCCACAATGAGGGCATCACAGAAGTTGTCAGGCATCCCCTCTGTGAACCAGATGTCTTCCAAGATGCCTTGGAATGCCTGTAAGGTGTTTGGGTCTAGTGCTTTGTATATCTCAGCAGGAATGCCATCCTGCGCTGTTGCTTTATTTGAGTGAGATTGCTTTCTTGATCTCATCAGTAGAGGGAGGCAGGTCTAGATAATCCAAGAGTGGCAGCTGAGGAATCTGCTGTAAGATTCCTTACAGGATCAAATGTGGACGGCCTATTGAGTAGGTTGGAAAAGTGTGCAGCCCAGCATTTTTCATTAAGCACATCTTGAAAATGTTGAACTTTTATTTATTTTATTTATTTATTTGTCATATTTATATAGCTGCCCATCTCACACAAGGTGACTCTGGGCGGTGTAGAGTTGACTTGGATCTTGCAGTCTGCCAATGTTGAATGACATTCTGACAGTCCTTGGTTGCTTACGATGTAAAGGGGCTATGTGCAGGTTGAGGACCAACCAAACCAGCCTGTGATCTGTCCAGCATTCAGCACCTCACATGGCCTGGGTGATGATGACGTCTTTAAGGTCACATTGACTACTATTACATAGTCTAGTAGGTGCCAGTGTTTGGACCTACGATGCATCCACATTGTTTTGTACATGTTTGCAAGTCTGAACATCATGTTAGTGATGCAGAGGTTATGCTCAGCACATGTGCTCAGAAGCAGCGGGCCATTATTGTTTAATTTTCCCACCCCATGCCTCCCAAGGACTCCAGTTGTTGCCGTCTGTCCCCACTCTAGCATTGAAGTTGCCCAAAATGATGAGTTTGTTGCTGGTGGGGGTTGTTTGAATAATCTGGTCCAGGTCCTTGTAGAAACCTATCTTGTCTTTGTCTGGACTTGTGAGAGTTAGTGCATAGATGCGGACAATGGTGATATACTGGGACTTGCTGAGAGGAAAGCAGAACTTTATAATATGTTCATTTATTCCAGTGGGTAGAGTAGAGATGTTCTTCAGCAGAGCAGTTTTGATTGCAAAATCTACTCCATGGGTCCTGTTTGTAGTTTCCCTTTCCAAAAGAACATGTATCCACTTGCTGCTTCTTGTAATGAACCCTTGTCTACAAGCCTGGTCTCACTGAGTGCAGAAATGTCAATGCTATAACAGTGAAGTTTGGCTGCTATGAGTGCTGTTCATCTTTCAGGCCTTGACACCTTGTCTCTATCCATCAAGGTGTGGATGTTCAAGGCTCCAAAGATGAATTTTCTTTGATTTATTTTTCTTGACACTCGACTGCTAAGGAGGTGATCCACCAGCCGCAGTTAGCTGGCCAGATGTGGGGCAGGTAATGTTTATGGTACCTTTTCTAACCCCCTCCCTCATGCAAGGGTGGGCAGTGCTATTCTAAAAAGGGCTGCCCAGTTGCCCTGAATACTGCCAGACGTCTCTGCTGCCCCAGGTACTGAGACAAATGACCATTGGTCCAAAGGACACCCATGTGCAGGTTTGTGACTACAACTGCCAGTGGTCCTCTCTGCCTGTTGTATCACCATTCCCCCATCACCGCAGGGCTCAACAAATTAGATTTGGACTGAGATGAATTGCATATGGGTTGTAGATAAAGATGAATTGCACAACAGAAACCTGTGCGTGATGGAGTTTTAAGTGAAGCAGCCTTTGCACAGGGGCAGTCCCACTCTCTCAGCATAAGGGACCTTAATCCAATGGCACGACAACCATTATGGCTGGAGATCTCTCCTGCTGCAGTGGATGACCAGGAAGTCTAAGTGTCTTACTGTGCTCTTAGTGCTCCACAATGCCTACTGGGCCTGCCTTCTTGACCATTAGACCATTGATCAGTCTCCTCTACTCAATCTGCCAGGGCAAGACTTCACATACTGAGATAGACAAATCTCCTACCTCACCAAGGGTTGAAGACCTGTCGACTACCCTTACCTGGTTTGGCCTGTCTGCTGAGACGGGTTACTGGGGTGTGGCTGTTGCATGTGTTACAGCTATTTGGAGCCACAGGTAGGAGCTGATCACTTTGGTGGGGACCAAAGGTGAACAAGCAGCCCTCAAAAAGGCACAGCAAGCCCTTCCACCAGAAATGCTACCCCTCCCTGGGCACCCCATATACCCCAACATTAATATAGATGTAATTCTAAACTGGTGTGGTTGCCCTACCAGGAATCTGGCCATTGCATTCTATACCAGCTGTAGTTTCTGGGTCATCTCCAAAGGAAGCTCTATATACAGCGGTACTCCAGTATATACAGCAGTATATACAGGGTGGTGCTTTGGGTGTGAATTACAGATGATGGATTATCCTGGTACAGGTAGGGTTATAACTGGTACACCTCCTGAAGGTAGAGAAAACCCCCTATGGT